TTTTTTTTTTTTTTTTTAGTCATATTTATCTTACAAATATTTACTCCTGTATTAAACCATTTCCTTCATTCTACCCTCTGACTTCTGAACCTTCCTGCATATGGTCAGGCACAGGCTTGCCAACCATATATACAGCATATTAAAAATCTCCACAATTCTATCCTCAAGCATTGTATTTTCTTCCCTCGAATTCTCCCTGAGAAAAATTTCACTCTCCTATGGCAACCTGGGAAACTGGGACTTGGGACAGCAGGCCCAAGATCTCAAAGCTATAAATAAGTCAGAGAGCAGGAATTTAAGATTAAATGGTCTGTCTCCAGATTCCACCATTTTAACCACTAAGTCTGCATACACTCTTCCCCTCAGAGCTAGATAAAAAGAGTATATACTATATGACTTCATATATGTAAAATTCTAGAAAATGCAAACTAATTACAGAAATAGAAAGCAGATAAAGGGTTGCACAGGAATGAGGGAGGAAGAAGGGAGAGTGAAGAGTATCGGGGAGCGGCAGGAGAAAGGGAATGCAAAGAGGTACAAGGAAACTTTTAGAACAATATTACCTTGATTGTGGTGTCTGGTTTTATAGATGTATGTGTCAAAACTTAACAAACGGTACATTTTAAATATAAGCAGTACATTTTATGTCAATACATTTGTGAATTTTTTTAAAGCAAAATTAGAAAGCCTGGTATTGGTATAGGAATAAACCAGTAAACCATTGCAACAGAACTCAGCTACAGACCTACACACATAGGGCCCACACATATATAGAACAGAGGTGACACTGTAATCAGTAATAAAAGGATAGCACATTCAATAAATTGTTTTTAGAACACTGGCTACCCATATTGAGAGCAGGGCGAAAATCCCTAACTCCTATCATTCACAGAAATGAATTCTGGGTGAATTAAAGGTCTATATAAGAGAATCAAATCTTTAGAACTTCTAAAAGGAAATATAAGAAAGTACTTTTAGTTAGCATAATATCCTACAGGTCCTTTTTATGGCCAAGTAGTATTCCATGGTGTAAATAAATATACCATAGCTGTTCTATCCACTCATGTACTGATGGACCCTTGGACTGCTTCCAAATCTTAACTATTGTAAATACTGCAGCGAACATAGGGGTGAACTAAGCCAGTCAAAGAAAGACAAATACCATAGGATTTCATTCATACGTGGAATTTAATGAACAAACCAAACTAAAACAAGCAAAACAGAGACAGACTCACAGATAGAAAGCAGGCAGACAGCTCTGGTTGGAGGTGTGGGGAGTGGAGGGATTAAGCAAAAAGAAAAAGAGAAAGAGCTCATGGACACGGACAACAGTGTGGTGATTGCAGGGGGGAGGGGGGAGGAAAAGGGTATATGGGAAATAAATGGGGATGGGGGAAAAATAAAAGAAAGAGAATACTTTTAGGACATTGAGGCATGAATTGATTTTTTAAAAAGACACAAAAGAGATACATCTTAAAGAAAAACTACTGGAAAACCCAACTATGTTAAAATTTAAAACTTCTGCACATCATGATACTGTAGTTTTAGTGTTTGTTTTATTATTTTATCTAACAGAAATCAGACTGATGGTTGCCAGAGGGGAGGGAGTTTGGAGAACTAGGCCAAAAAGGTGAAAGGATAAAGAAGTGCAAATTGATAGTCACAAAATACTCACAGGGATGTAAACTACAGCATAGGGAACATAGTCAATAATATTTTAATAACTATGTAGTGCCAGGTGGATACTTGAAATATCAGAGGGAACACTCTGTAAAGCATATGACTGTCTAACCACTATGCTGTACCCCTGAAACTAATATTGAATGCAAACTGTAACTGGAAAAAATAAAATAAATAAGTAAAATGTGGACATTTTGTGAACTGGCCAAAATTAAATATGACCCAATATTAAACTTAAATTTTCAAAATCTACGACCATTTACAATTGTTCCAAAAACATTAAGCACTTAGGTATAAATGTATAAGATCAATCTGTTGAAAATTACAAACTGCTAATGAAAGACATCCAAGAAAATCTAAATGAGTTCTTCCCTTGAATACTATGTGAACTATAAACATGACATGTGTCAAGATAGCAGTCTATTTAAACTTTTCCTTGGGGACAAGGAAACGGAAAAGAATTTTTAGCAGTGATAAAATAATGTGTTTTACTGACAAATAGCAGAAATACAGTAAGTCAAGCTCAGTGAATCCAAGTAATGTTATACTAAAAATTTCCAGTTTGGGTACCTGAATTCAGCACTAAAAACCTCACAGCAAGAATTAAACTCCAATGCAAAGCAAAGATGAATTGCATGATTACCACTAAGTTTTCCAATGGTCTTTCTAAAGTCCAAGATAACAAGTCTTTAAGTTTCCCTTGGTTGCTTTTCATGCAATGCAGAATTTAAATGTGCTAGTCCAGAGATCTGAGATAAAACAACCACAAAAAACACTTTGCTACTGCTAGATTAATTGCTCTGAATTCTAAACTGATCTTTTGGTTTGGAGGGAACTAAAATTCATAGTATAATTTTGTGTGAGGTCCATATTTTGCAAACCACAAAAAACATACTCAGGAAAGCACATCAGAGACTAGCAGGACACACAGTCATCACCCTAACACCATTCCTG